ACACTGAAGTTATGAGTACTTCCCTTTTCATGGCGAATCGTTGAAGTTCGACGCAACGCCACAGGCACGCTGTTTGTTGTACAGTCACAAATAGCACAACTATTCATCAACGGGTTGTTTTGACTGTACTGACCAGTTTTGAAGTTGATCTAATGACCGCAAAATTCAAAATGGCCAACTTCGATGCCACACCATGGACACGCCCCTCAACTTACAGTCACAAATAACACAACTTTATATCAGCAATGTTTTTTGACTATACTGACCAATTTTGAAGTAGATCCGATGAATTCCCTTGGAAACCCTACCCTACCGCGAAACCTAACTGCAGTACAGATTCTCCATTTGGACCCAAACTGCGGCAGTAGTTAAATGACAAATCAACACGGGTTTCTGTGAATTAGTGCCCAACATATCAAGTGAACAAATGAATTTGTTACATTTATTTACCTCCCTCCTTTCATCAGTAAGCATCTGACAACACTTCACATATTTTCTTAACATCCTAGTCTGGTTAAGTAAAATATGTTTCTGTTTGACCACATAGGTGATCTGAAGATAGAAGAAGATATATACTTTATTGATCCCCTAGGGGAAATTCTTCTTTTCACTCTTTTTATTCTTACACACCTTACTTAGGCTGAAATACACACTTCACACTTGTGGATGGTGGAGTGATGGGCTGCCATGTTAGTGGCACCCGTTAGCAGTTTATTTGGGATTAGGTTGCCTTGCTCAAGGACACCTCGGCAGTGCACAGGAGGTGAAACTGGCACCTCTCCAGCTACCAGTCCACACTCCATATTGTGGTCTATGGGATTTGAACTGGCGACATTCGGGTTCCCAAGCGAAGTCCCTACACACTGAGCTACTGCCACCCTAAATTTAAACATTTCACTGATGTACACCTGATGCCAAAGCCCCTGTGCTGCTTCTTTAACCATGGTCAACCAAGCTGTAGTAGGTACATTTTATGAAACATTTCGTTATGTTTGCTGAAACTTTCACTATTTCCTGACAGTAGTACACGAGACATATAATAATATACAGATAATCTGTGAAAAAATCGGTTCCTCAGCATCCTCTAATGGGATTTACAATAATCCACTGGGCCTCAAAGAAAACAACAAATCAGAGCTGAGAAAGATAGTCTCATTCTTAAATACTAACACTTTGGGTTGGAGGCTTGACTGTTGATTTTTGAGTTTCATTCCCAGGCCTCAAAACGTCTGTATTTGGGAATGAGACTCAAAAATCAACTGTCTTTCTGGGCTCTGATTGGTTGTTTTTGTGCAGACACGGTGGATTCTTGCAAATGCCATTAGAACCCAAGAAGAACCTGTTTTTTTCACAGAGTATGTCCCATGACTACTCTCAGGATATAGTGAAGGTTTCAGCTAATAGTTATTTTTATAAAAGTTATCTACTGCGGCTTTAATATCTATCTGCACTGACTGGGTTTTAAAAAGTCTTTATAAAGCACTCATATTTCAACTAGCAATGATTAATTCAAACACACCTCTGAGTTCAATGTGAAGGAAGTCAGTGGTTCCCAGGTTCTCCAAAAAGACTCCATGAGTGGAGGAAGTCTTAAAGTAGAAGGAGATGTCAGTGCTTGTTTCTCCTCTGAAGGAGGGGAAGTGGAGGTAGGAGGCGGGACTGCTGAAGGAGGCTGCGTTCCAGTAGTTACCTTCACAAAACAGCAGGACATGAATGGATAAAATACAGTTAATATCTCATAGTCTCTGGTGAAAGATGAATGTGTGAGAGAGACAGAGAGAGAGAGGCACTCACGGTCCCCCTGGCATTTCAGTGGACCTATTGTCAGCTTGGCCTCAGATCCAGCTCTGCTCGTATCACCAACAACAACCTGACTGACTGGCAAATGGTCTTTATACACCAACAGGCCCGCATCCTCCTTCCTGCACATACACCAACAGACAGTCGAGACAAACACTTCTCAGTCAATTCAGGATCATATTACACTAGATAATATCTGAAACGGCTTACAGAGGTAAGGCTTTTGGCATTGTTAATAAGTAATAAACATAAATGGTCCTGGCCATTTAAATCACTGCAAAAATTAAATTAATGTCACCACCCTTTCTCTTGACTTTCATTTGAAATTTTGACATTATAATTTATAATAACTTCTTTTTTCGATAAAATGTACTACACTTGGAATACTGTCCCCATTGTCCAAGTTCTGTCATTTTTTTTAAACCTACAATGGCACTAATTTGCCTTCACAATAGAGCTGCCTTGTAATAAAATGGAAATCATACTTTCTATAATTTGGGACCTTTAATTGAACAAATAAACACAGGTGGTCAAAGTTGAACCAGGAAAAAGCACTGCATAATGTGATGGATGTTAAAAACAGACAGTCATGGTAATAATAATCATCTGTAGTAAAGGTAAGGACGATAACTCTGTGTGAATATACAAACTAGTTAAAATAAAGACTCCACTCACCAGGCACGCAGGTCAGCGTCACAGTTACAGAAGTGTCTGGGGTCAGTACAGTTGTGTTCGATACCACAGGAACACTTCTGTATCCCTGGTCCGGAGCCCCCCCAGTAAGAATGCCTCTCATTGGCTCTTCCTACCCACCAGGTAAACGGGACGCCATCTGTGAGTCAAACAGTGTGGAGTCAGTTTTAATTTTAATTTTATTAGATTTCAGACTACATGCTTTAAGGAGACTACCTACAGGATATGTATTTCCCTTATGTTCTATAAAGGAAACTATATCTAAATTACATTCTACAACCCTGTGTTGTAAATGACAATAAAATAACCCTGAATCCTTGAACTATTAGATAATATGTAATGAATTTGGATTGCTATTTAGTTTGTTTGTTTGTTTTGTGCAATATCGCAATGAACTTTGACAGTTCTGTCTTGACGTGATTTATATGCGGTTCCAACATAGTCAGGGATCTATGACAGCTATCATTATTTGATAGTGGACAACCAACAAGGAGCACACACAAATGCCAAAAAGATATGTATATATATATATATACACACACAGTATATAGTCATTTGTACCATAAATAAGGGAGGTGTTGTATTAGTGACTGAGGAGTATTTTACCTGGAGTGTTGAGCAGACGAGACATTCTGCAGGCGTAGGCTACATACTGTTCACAGTATTCTGCACTGCTGGTGACTGACAACACCTGGACACACACGCGCACACACACACACACACACACACACACACACCACTCCCTATATTACATACAGCAAATGATTCAAATTGCAAATTTTAAGACCAATCAAAGGACATTTTAAGAAAAAAAAATGTAAATTCAGATTATTGGATTTAAGGGCCCACAGAAACCCTGTTGGGTTTTATTTGAGAATTTTATCCCAACATTAACATTAAAATTACACTTTTATTACTGTTAGCACCAATACACAAAAACTGATCTGACCACAACAAGAAATGTGTGCAGCAGGTGAACTAGGTCAAAGTAAGTGTGTGTACCTGTTCATCGGTCACATTGTAATTGATCTGCAGCACTGCCTTGCCCTCCTGGTCTGCACTGTTGACTGATGTCTGAGGAGACAGGTTGTTCTTCAGTGTAGTCCAAACCTTTTCCCCTAAGAGTCCAGACAATATACTGTCAATGCAACACATTCCTCAGCAAAGACCCACCAGCACTATACAGCATGTATACGTACAGTATATGTCATACAGAGAAAAAGAGCACGACAAAGGCATGTTTCCATGCCACAGTAGCTACTGTGACATTCACAAACACAATTATGTGACTGATTTACAGGCAGACATGTGAAGACAGTTGTGGAGTGTAGTGAGCATAGCTGCAAAATATATGTGTTGAAAGTAGAAAGTTTGTGCAAAAAACTGGAGCAAGTATTGACAAAAGCTATTCATGGAAATACATTTTTATCTTACCTAGAGTAGCATGAGAAAATAAAACGGACAGTGACACCTCACCTGTCATGTCACAGTTCACCCTGAAGGGGGCAAGAGACCCACTGCCATCAGGGTCGATCCAGTAACTGCCTGAGCTCTTCCCTTGGTGCTTGTACTCCTCACAGGACTGCTGATACATTGCTACAGAGGACAGACATGACAGCTCAGCAGACACAAAGCATATTGTGTGTGTGTGCTAGGGGTTTCACAAAATAGTTGACGAGTGGACCGTCAAAACCACTAGTCAACACTGTGCACTGTTGCGTGTAATCATTCATCTGTAGTTTTAGCATGGTGTAGTAATAAAATCTACAGCAGATATGCAGCTGGGGGTGCTGTAATCATCATTTCGAGTAAATCTACAAAAGAAACTGCAAATGAATGCTTGTTTACATCCACTACAGTTATGAGATTATTAGGAATTGGTTAGGCAGTAGGTGGCAGCAATTCTGCAGTCAGAAAACCAAAAGAAGATGGCCTAACATGATGACGTAATTAAAAAAATGCCAGTGGAAGCTCAAATGGTGAAAATCAATGCAAAAAACGTCTCTTTTCATGTATTAATGTAAGTAAGGTTCAATCAGATCTGTGTGATCTGGACGTATTATTCATGGGAAAAACATGAGAGATGACCTAATGAATGAAGGTACACACTTTGTTTTCTACATTATGTTAAATGTACAACAAGGAGTTTTAAGCTGGTTATCAAAATATGTCTCAATTAAATACCGATTCCTCTACATAATCTACATAAACAAACAAGACCATCAGCAACAAGATTGACTATTTCTATATAGTTATTCTTAATACCTGCCACTGGGTCAGATTTTATATGAAATCAATAAAAATGGGAAATGGTATATAAATAGGTAGGTTTTAGTGTATAATCACCTGAATATAGGAATTGTGTTTTTGTTACCTTAGAATGAGCTGTTTTTATCTACGGGGGAGTGGGTCCTCTTCTACAGAGTCTGTCATGTTGAACTGCCATGTTTCTACAGTAGCCCAGAACGGACAAAACCAAACACTGGCTCTAGATAAGGCCTGTTTACCTGAGTTTCATGGCCATGGTACTTTTCTCCTACGTGCTTGGAAGGAGATGGTGAGTTGAGTTGATTGTAATCTCACCGCTAGATGCTACTACAACCTACACACTGGTCCTTCAAATAAAAAGAATTTACAGTATTTAGAGAAGGAACGACTAAAGCTCAGACAAGTTTGCTAAGGTAATCAGATTGTGGCTCATTTGTAATTGAGGACATCTGACCTCCTTGTGTTAATTAATGGGAATTGTCCCTTTTTAAATAAATAAACTTCAAACTTCAACGCCGTGCTGTGAGCACTTACAGGTATGGCAGGTAGCTCCAGTGTATCCAGTGCCAGTACAGTTGCAGCTGAACGTATCCCACGTCTGAGAACAGCGACCACCGTGCTCGCAGTGGTTAGGAACACACCTGACATGACACACAGATGGACAGTGAACACAGGGAGAACAGCAGGGACCAGTTTGAAATCCACCTCTGTGGCTCAGAGGTAGAGTGGGTCTTCCACTAATCGGAAGGTTGTTGGTTCGATCTCCAGCTCCTCCCTCTGCATGTCGAAGTATCCTTGAGCAAGATAGAATTTGTGAACCCCACAAACCCCATAATTGTGACTAAGTTGTATACCTGTCTACGATGGCACACATATCCAGGCTGACATTTTCAAAGGTTCCAATGAGACCCTGCTCCAAAGCCCTGAGGTCAGCTAGATGGTCGTCTACATGGATCATTTGCATGCATCCCTGGAAGGAGCGCTGAAGTGACCGGGTGTTTGTGTGCAGGAAGTAGCCTAGAGACAAGTAGAGGAGGTCAAAGGTCATTATTAGAGCCAATGAAGAAATACAGAGAGAAATCTTAATTTTCCTCCCTGACATCAATTATCAAACATTTAGTGGTTGTTCATATGTTTTTTATACTCAATTTGGAATTACAGGGAGAACTGTGATTGATCCTTTTGAAAAGATGAAGGAAGGTATTAGGCTCATATCCATAAGCATTAGAAGCTAAATCTGTGAGTACAGTTTATCACATGGACATGGACATGTATGTTCTCCAGGAGTAAGGCAGTTAGTTTAGAATTTCACATTTTGGATTTGGGTAAGCTTATTCTTACTGTGAGCCAGAGTTAAACCAGGAGTCTGCCCATTCGGATGAGTTTTTTCGAGTTTTTAGCATCTTTTTACCAAATGATTTGGAAATGTGGGAACATAGGGCCTAATTTTGGAAAAAAAATCTTAGAAATGTGGGAACTGTGGGAACATAGGGCCTAATTTGGAAAAAAAAACATTTAGAAATGTGGGAATACATATGGGGCCTTTTGGTGGGGACATAGGCACGCTCCATTAGCTAATAACTTAGATGTGACTATATGTATTTTTTTTTGTAACTTTTAAGTATCTTGTCTTTTCAACAATAACACATATTACCTACTTTAGCCTACGTTAGTTAGCTAGTATACCGTACGTACGTTTATATTCTACAACCAAGAACCTGGTAGATATTTTGTAAGCTCATTCCAATATTTTTTATCACATCACACAGTCCAGCAGATAACTGGACCGCATGATTCACGGCCTGAAAATAAAAATATCCTGCATTGATAAAATACACACAGTTACTTTGGATGGTTTTTGAGGAATCACCTCCAAAGTAGTAGGTTCCCCCGGTCTGGATCTGGATGGGGATGGCTGTTCGAACTGTGGATGCTTCATCTCCATCCACTGTCAGCATAGCATAGTTTTCCAGTGCATTCAAATGGACACTGTGCCACTGGCCATCATTCAGTCCTGAACCTGCAAGAAAAAACATACTCCAGTCTGTAAACTTTAACAGGATGAAATTGGCAAAGTGACAAATAATTGAACTGACTGAAGGTTCCTGAACTCAGGACCAATGGGCGGAGCTCACCTGATGAGATGTCAATGCGTGTGTTCTTCTTCTGTGTCACATTCATGTAGACAGTGATCTTGCCCTCTGTCAGTGCCACCTCCACCCAGCCATCTGCCAGCGCCGTGAACAGCAGCAGCCCGTTGGGGTTCCACGTCCTGAAAGACAGACTGACAGACAGAGTGTCGCTGTCGCTCTGACCCGGCAGCTGCAGGAAGGACGTGGAGTTGAAGAAGACAGAGAATGAGCTGGACTCAGTGCACGAGAATGTGAGGTTACGCTATAATGGGAGAGAGAGAGAGAGAGAGAGAGAGAGAGCAGAGAGAGAGAAGAGAGAGAGGAGGAGAGAGAGAGGGAGAGAGAGAGAGGAAGAGAGAGGCGAAGAGAGCAGTTAAAATAGCAAGAATTTCAGTCATGACCTATAGCTGACAATTTAAAACAAGATTTTCTTTTGGGAAGATCTGGGTGATATGACATATATTCACGGTACACGGTTTTAAATTCAATATATTGCAATCTTGTAAGGATAATTGCCTTAATTCTAGTCTAAAGCAGACAAAGATGAATAAAAACATCGTAAGCTAGGTCTCTAATACTCTCAGAGACCACAGACTCAAAGCCAAAGAGAGTTGTCTTACGAAAGCTGGAGGTGTCCACCTTCTTCCTGCGGACCAAGTAAGTGATGTTGTCCTCCATTGTAGGTGATTCCCTCCATGCAAGCCCCACAAAGTTCTCCTTCTGCGCCTTGAGCTCGGCTTCACTGATACAGGCAGCCCTCCAAAACTGATCTGAGGCAGCAGAGTGGACAACATGGACTAAAGTGACATTGATCCTCGCTACTATGATGTCTATTTGCTACTGTTGACCAACAAACACACTCACTGTCTAGGTAAGGTTCATTTGAGCTGAAATTATATATTTCTTTTTTTTGTGCTGTTTGTAGTGGTGTTCATTTTAATGTATTTTTTATCATAAACTCACACGACAAAGTGGAATTGATGCTTCATTTAAAAGTCATATGTAGACATCCTAGTTTTACAAATTACTTAACATGCCTTCCCATATTGATTTTTTACAGTTTGTATTTTATGCAAAATTTCTTTAATATCCATATTTTTTTTATTTGAACACAATTGGTTGGGCCACTTCTAGAGAAAAAGACAACATACATGAGCCACAAAGAACCCTCCCTAAGTCCCACCCTTTTTGCTCTGTCCTCCAGTTACAGTAAAGAAAGCCTCGGTCAGAGCGCTGTCCTGTGCGTAGCCACTCAACTCACAACTGTTACTGGGATGCCTTGTTTAAGAGACGCCTATGGCAGAAGGTACAAAACTCCTGCCATAGCGAGCACGTTTTACAGGCCACAGTCCTGTATTTGCGTTGAGATGGTAGCAGTACGAATAATGAGTTGAGGGGGTGCTTGGGGGTCATGTGCTATACTGTGTGCTCTGCGTGTAATGGTTGTATTGTTGAGGTCTGAGACGGTTGGGGTGGGAGACCATGATTTTGGGAGGCGTGTGGTGTAATGCGTGTCAGTATGTTCCTATTTGAGGCAGTTAACATGTTGTAGAAGCAGGCTGAACAGTAGAGGATGACAGGTTGGACTATGCTTTTATAGAATAATAACAGAAGTTGGGGGGCAACAGAAAGGTGCATTGAGTTTGCGGATGGCAGAGGAGTCTTTGTTGGCAGCGTTTGTAGAGTCACCCGGTGTGATGATCGAAGTTAGTTTTATGTCCAGGGTTAGTCCGAGGAATTGGATGGACTCCACAATCTCCAGGGATTCACTGTTGATTAATTGTGGGGTTATGGATGAGGTTGCGTGCTGAGCTGTGGATTGCTGGAAGTGTTGGTGATCAAGTTCTTTTTGTTTTCTTAAAAATTGAGTCTAGATGACTGTTTGATGATGTAAAATACTTAGCCAGTTAACTAGCGTTTCACTGACATTAGTGTTCAGATGTGACTATCTAACTAACGATCAATGTAGATTAGCTAGCTTTGGTATGTTGAGATAAGTGTTGTTTTGTTACGTTTTGGACCTGCTCGACCTCTGAGCCACAGCCGCCCCTAAATCTCAGTAAGCAGTAACCAGTGATGTGTTGCTGCTTGCCCAGCACACTTCATTAGCAGGTTTATTAAACCAAAATGTGCTTAAAGGTGCTGCTGTGTCGCTGTAACTCCAGGAACAAGGCTTAGATGAGTAAAATGCCTGACAGCATGATCCACAGGGAGTCTTTACCTCATAGTCCAGGTCCAAGTGGTCAAACTCTCCATTGGTCCTGAACTGCTGAGTGTGGTGGTCCAGAGTGAAGTTGACATTCCTTCGGTAACGCTCTATGACAACTGAGTGCCAGTGGTCATCATCCAATAAGCTCCCACTGGTCACAGAGGTGTGACCCTGAATGGAGCCATACTGGTTACTCCCTATAAAAGTTACAGAGACATGAACAGGTAAATAGTTTATCAGTAGATAATACAGTCCCTAGAATTTCAATAGAATAGAAGAGGCTGTCTCTGGAGAACATTTTCCTTGAAACCATACAGACTTTATGAAAGGCTACCTAAGTTGATGCTGAGCTGTAGTCTTGCCCTCCGGAGCTCCAGGGATATGTAGTCTCCCTGCTGTCCCTCTCCATGGAGCAGGACCCCATCTCCAGTCGTGGTTCTAAACTTCAGAAAGATGACATCCTTCACAATCTTCATCTTCTTACTCCTCAAGCGGTAGGAGATAACGCCGTGGCCGTCAAAACTGATCACATCTGCCCCTGGAAGACAAAAAAAGAAATTTCCTTTCTGGCCAATAGAACAGACAAAGACCTTAAAATATTGTGGAGGTGCCTGCTTGCTGGACCATATGAAAGTTGTTGCTTTGGGACACAAAGCAAAATTCAAATGTATTATGGCAGGATAAACTCCTTGAGATGTATGGTCTTATTTTCAAGGTAGTACCAAATCAGAAACTCACAAGAACTAACTTGAAATACTTTAAGGTGTGGCTACCTTGTGATTGACAAGTCATCCTCAGTGAGTCCGTCAAGCTCAACGCACCAAACTCAGATCAAACTGTCAAACTAAACAGTGCTGATCAAATATATATCCACATTATGTTACTGCGTTACCTATTTGCCACCTTAAGTTATTTGAGAAATATTTTAGTGTACTGTTTATCTGTAATATGAGAATGTCTGTGACCAGACGAGCCACCATTGTTTCATGCAACATACGAGTCACCAAGGACTGCAGCTCAACTTGCAGCACGTCACCACTGCTTGCTCCGAAAAATGACATGGCGATGGCTATAATGCCGAGCTGGAGGCTTCAAAACGGTACTCCACAAATCAATGGGTGTCACAATAGGTCACACTATGTAACTAGAAGAACCACCTGCTTAAAATCAATTCAGGTTCCCTGTCAGCTACAACAGCAACAGCGATAGAGTTGTGGATTAGACGAGGCCAGTGTGTGTGTTGCTCCAGTACTGAAGGGTATTTGAATGGAAATGCATGCAACATGTTAACGCACACTTGACTTCACCTAGATGAATTGATTTTTTTCCCTCTGTTTGTTCACTTGTACTCACAGTAGGAGCAGCCGTAGAGCTCCAGGCGTACTCCAATGCGTCCATCCTTGTTCCAGTCCAATGGGATGAAGCGGATGTAGCGAGCCAGGATGGCGTGCTGCAGCTCATGGCGGACCACACCCTCACTGTTCACGTTCCCGTCAAATGTCTGAAACACACAGAAAATAAACGTGCTTCAGGTAGTTCTCCATAGTCTATGTAACACCTATCTGTTCAGTTTTCCAAAAAATTCGGGTACGTTTTCAGTAATAAATTTTTTAACATTTTTATTTGTTAAATTATATATTTTTTTCATCATATCAAATACACTGAAGATTTTGCAATAGTTTTTTATTAAAATTTGAAGATGTTTAATTAACAATTTATTTTATGGGAAAATTCAAAGACAGACTAGAAAATGCATTACATTAATGCACACGTTTCCTTCTGCACAGCTTTCTCTTCTTATCTTTCTTATCTTTATCTATTTATATTTTGAAAGTAACTTTATTTTTCTGTTGGTTTTTGTGTTGGATTTGATAATTTGTATATTTGTATAATTGTATATTTTATTTGTATATGTGTATATTTTATGCCACCAACTGCACCCAGGTCACATTCCCCTCGTAGGCGTAAAAACCTACTTGGCAATAAAACAAATTCTGACTGATTTCTTGATTCTGATTCTGAAAATGAGTGTGTCTGATGCTTGGTGCGCACCCGATACCAATATGACCAGTACTAAGGAAGGATTAATAGCACTAGCTGTATCATTGACACCAATTAAAAATCTTAATTATACACTGATGAAAAATACAAATTTACAACTCTATTCTATTGACTCTATTTGCTATTATAAACATATACTTTTGGGCTAGATTACATTACAGAATAAAATAGGTCTTAGACTTCACCTCTGAACAGTAGACTTCATTAACACAACTTGTAGGGTGACAGTGTATTTTGCTCCACATATATTGCAGGGGTACAGAGAAATTATACCAAGCTCAACTACATAACCATCGAAAATGTGCTCCACAGTTTATGAGTTGAGAAGCTCCACAAGTGCCTGTGAGGGGTAGCTAGCCAGTGATGCTCACAGGCCAGTCTTGCCCCACAGTCACACAGACAACTGCAGCCGACACAGCAACAATGGCAGAGAATTCTCCTACTGCTGTCTTAACATTTCTGACCAGAGAACACACTCCAACATGTTATTTTGCAGTAAAACAATGCGACAAAAACACCAGTGAATCTGGTTCCTTCCATTCGTCAGACTGCCGTTACCCATCTCTCAAGGAAAATGTTAATCTCTGAGAAAATCATGAAAATCAAAAAAACAATGAAAAAAAACATGAACTTTGATGATTGTGGGACAAGATCTAAAGTTATATCTAAAGGTTTTAAAAGTTATTTACAGACGTTTATCCACAGACAATCACTGTCTCAAAGGTTTCAAAGAGTTAAAAGTTTAGATGAGAATTTACATTCTTACTCACCCAGATGTTTCCATCCTGTAGGTAAGGCCTCCAGTTTTTCTGCGTGTCACTGTAAAGCAACCGATACTTGCTGGTCCAATCTGAGCTACTGTAGCGACCTTGTGTCACTATGGCGACCACCTGCTTCCTAGAACCCAGGTCCACCTGTAACCACTGGTAACGGTCTGTATCCAGGGGCGACCAACCTCCAGCACCTAGTTTTGTGGGTGTTGTAGGGGTGGACGGGGTGAAAGATGGGAGGAAGAGAAAAGGAGAAAGAGTGGGATATTGTGTTGTGTTTGTACTGTTTCTTTAAGAGAGTCCAATGCTGTTTATGGACCCCAGTATGCAGAAATATAAAAAAATACACTAGGCGAAAATAACACATGGCACTTGGGGTGGCAAATCAGATTTCAGCCTCCCCCTCTGGACACACCCCTGCATTTAATGGTACTTATGGTGTCTTCTTCAATGTAAGCCAATAACCATTCTGTAATATATATGTGATTAAGCATTAAATAAAGTATGTAATATCAGATGGAAATAGGCTCAAAGCCGCTACTTTAGAAAGGGGTTTTAAATACAATGTTTGCTCATGGTAATTCACAATATGTAAGAAATTACTAACATTCATTACATGGTGTTCTTTGTAGTTTTACTTTACAACCAGACAGGGCCACTCACATGGTCCTGATTTGATTCCATAAGTCAGATGATCTGAACTAGAGACTGACGATATAGACTGACGAAAAATTATTAATTAAATTTTTTGTTATAAATAATAATACTCTTGACATTTAAGGTTGAAATTATGTCCCTTAATGTATGATTCAAGTACTGCAATCTGCTACGTTACTGATAAACTATAGCTGGCTAGCAATTATTTTAAGTTAAATTTACATGAACTAAAAACCTTCCACAGCCTTTCTTTCCATTCAAAGTTGTCTCTAAAGGTTTTAGGTACTTGCTGCCAAAAATGTTTTGCTCTCTTGTTGACAAATGTAAACTTGACATAACTCACCTTGTCCCTAATTTGTCGTGTTAACCCTATAAATATGGTGATTCTCCCTAAATTTCTATACCTGTTCCAGCATATTCCAATTTTTATCATAAAGTATTTTTTCCTTCAACTCAATGTTATGTTATGTCAGCAAACCAACTGACAAATGCTGGTACAGTTGGTTTGCATAAAATCAAACCAGATTAAGCTTGTACAGTGGACCGACAAAACCGGACACCGACCAAACACTAGTAAGGACCTCTATACAATGGAATGAATGCTGGAAAACCTGCACTCATACCAAGAAGAATATGAACACTGATCATGAAGTAAAGGACCCTCCTTTTGCTATTTGCATATTGGAGGAAATACATCACCAACTACAATTTGCATTCCATGCACTACTGGTATGCAGTGATACAAGAGAATCCAAACCAACAAAATGTACAATATGAACTCATGTGCATACATAATAGAAGGAACCTCAACAGTACTTTTCATTATAAAGACATACCTTGTTTCCGATTGAGTTTGGCGTAACCAGCTCCATACGCCCGGCCATACACTGATGAACTGGTGAATGAGCTGTAGGGGAGAGGAGTAGCCAAGCTGTCCTCACACTTCCCTGAACCAGAGAGAGAAAACACAGACAAAGCACTGTAAAACCTGATGAGTAAGTTCAACCCAAAAATGATAAAACTACCTGTCAAAACAGCTGACATACGATAAAAACTATTTATCATTAATTTGTTATCAAAATGGTAGCCAATTATTTTCTATGTATTTTTATTTAACTACACATTAAGAAATTAAATATAAATTAAAACTGTAAAATCCTAAGCTATACAATGTTGCTTACATTTTTATAATGATAAAAAGTCTAAGAAGGAAATTAGTCAATGGAATAAACAGGAATTATATCACAATACTTGAAATATTACACACATTTGAGTGCACTCAAAAACAACTTGTTTTGTTGCTTCAACAAGTTTTTTTGAGGATTAAGTTATACTAACTGTGACGGTCCCCTGAGTGGCTCTAATGTTTCCTCTTCCTTTTAAGGCAGCAGGTACTTGCTGGCGTCCACACCATTCCGCAATAGCGGAAGCACCTGGGCCGGGTTTCCGAGCTTTAAAAGCCCCGCGCTCTCTGGTTGACGGAGGCTCTCTTTTTTATCTTATTATTTGTATTGAGTAGTTGTTTTTAACATCCAACATTTACTTTTCATTATTACATCCACACTCATGCATACACACACTTTCACTACTGATGTTACTGACAAACACACCTCCATCTTCTATTTAGTTTCTTTTTCAGGTTGCAATTATGTTGTTTATGGTTTAAATAAATTACTTATAATTTGTCCTTTCAACTGCGTCTCCTCGTTTTTGTCACGGCTACAGAGCCAGGTCGTGACACTAACTTACTTATTTTGTAAAAGGTTTTACAGCGGGAACTGAGCTCCTCATTAGTGATTAAGGGATCGCCTGACTTTTCCTCTAGCATCACCATTAGGCCAAAGTACTGTATTAAATACTCCAATACTAAATATATTGTTGGCTGTTGTGTTAGCAATAGTGATGCCAGTTCGTTTTGGTTAGAACAAAGTTATGAAATTTTAAATGATCTCTTTGTTCACTACATGTCAGCCTTTCTTACCATCAGGTGTGTAAAATCTACAGGTTATGAACTTCTTTTCAAATATCCAATAATTCAGGTAATTATTGGTTCTCGTATTGGCAAAAGAAATCCATATTATGCTAGACATTTCATATTTCAATAGATCAATGGAAAAAGAGAAACAACAAAGAACAAAACATTTAGATCAATCAATAAGGAATAACTTCCCAATTGGAGCCCAAAGTTTTTTTTACATTGTGCAGTGCTGGGTAGCATGGAAGTATAGTCCTATATAAAGTACAATAGTATGCTTTCAGTGAAATTTGTTGACACTGCACACATTCATATTGTACAATCCCATTGTGGATTTTCTTGTATTGTATGAGCTGCATTGACAATTAGCACTTCAACAACTTCTAGACCCGTGGTTATCAACCTTTTTCCTTAAGGGACCCCTTTTCTATCATTCAGTAAACTGTTGACCCCTGACTCAGTGACATATTTTATGGATATTTCATATTATATTCAAAACTGTACAAAGAACCCAAATAGTGAATTCAGTAACTACAGGAAGTTTGCATAAAACAAGATTAATTTTGAGCAGATTATTTTCTGTTTAGAAAACTTTTTATACAATTCTCACTCTGTGTTGTGGATTTTTTTTTTAAAGGCTTCTTTTTGCCAAATTTAGTGTTTTCTTCTCATTGTTCTATTAACGCTTTGGTTTTCTAATGCAGGACGAGGCTGTCATAGAGTGAAAGCTCTGTGAATGTATCTTGTGATTGGTTTAAATTTTAAATAATAATCTAAAACAACAATTTCATTTAGTTTTCTTCACAGAAATGAACAAAATGCTAAGCCTCAAACCCCCCTTGAAGCTCTGGCCACCCCTAGTCTCGACCCCGAGTTTGGGAACCACTGTTCTATACCTCTGACATAAAAATAAATAACAGAGACTTTAAAATGAGGATGAGGAACAGCTGTGGTCAAAGAGGCTGTGCTTTTACAAACACTGATATAATAAAGTAATTCTTTACCAGAAAGGTTATTCTAACGCTTATGAAATTGCGTTGCATGTCTCTTATGTAGTTGTCACAAGTTGATAAAGCCAAAATACCCTACAAATAATCTTTAAAATCACTTTAACAGCCTGTCAATTTTATAATGGGACATATTCCCAGCATAAGGCTGTCCGATTGTATAGGTTGGTCTTTGTTTGTGACACATTCATCAGAATTGATATGAGACACAGTTTTGGGTGGGGGAGGGAGTCACAGCTCTGCATTTGTGTGTGTGTGTATGTGTGTGACAGGTGCAGGGTATGGTAATGAGCTCCCTCATATGCATTACAAAACAACAAGCCAAGCATGTATTAATCAGTTCAAAGGGACAAGAAAGAGATGATCTGCTCAACGAAGAACATGGAAAATGACCTCAGCATTCCACTGACAGTTTATCCTACTGAGAAATATGCTTGTTATTCATTTATGTGTTTTTTGATCATTTAAACAATACCAGATTACATTTGATGGTGACGTTTTTGAATATGGTAAATGGTAAATGGACCTGTATTTGTATA